GGGGGGGGGGGGGGGGGGAAGTGGTCCATCGCCCACCCCGTGCCTGGCGCCCCACGCTGTAGCCACTCGCAGCCCGCATGGGGCTGCCTGTGCCTGCTCAGAAGAGACTCACATGGGCTGCGAGCAGCTGCAGCAGGGAGCACCAGCCACGGGGTGGGGAAGGAGCTGCTTTTCCCTGTGCTGTTTTTCCCCAGGGTCCTTCCATGCCCAGGGTCCTCCCCTGCCCTTCCCCCACCTCCCCTCCCTTACTTGAGTTTCTGGCACGGGGCAGACACATGGCCAGAGGCCAGAAGCCCCTGCTGAGGCTTCTAGCTGGGGGGTGGGGCTGGGCAGGCCCTGCTGTTGCAGGGGCTCGACAAGGCTTCCCCTGGGTCCTACTGCTCCTGGCTCCTGTCATTTTTGATGGGAACCAAGGCCAGATAAATATTAATTTTCTAAATTTTTTAGGGGCCCCGTGGGCCAGATAGAATGACCTCATGGGCTGGATCCGGCCCATGTGCCGTATTTTGCCCACCCCTGCCTTAGTCCCTTCCTCCCAAACTCCAGACTGCTGTAGGCTGCTGGGATTCAGAAGCTGCAGCCATCCTGCTTAGACAATGCTCTCTCAGTGGCCTCCAGGGCCCTACTGCCTGCTCAGCTCAGGGCCTGGGCTTATAGCCTTTCTAAGCCCAACTCCCTTCTGGGCCATGTGACCCCAGACTGTCTCTGGCCACACCTACCACCTACTCTGCCACCTGCCTGCTCTTAAAAGTAGCAGGAGCACCCAAGCCTCTTGCTACAGGCCCCCAATGAAAAAGTTCTTCCTAATATCTAATCTAGGTTTCCTCTGTTGCAATTTAAGACTGGTACTCTTTGTCCTGACCCCTGCAGACTATAAGAATGCTCAATCTTCTCATCTTGACTAAACAATTCCAGTTCTTCCCATCTTTCCTCATACATCATGGTTTTCAAGGCCTCTAATCAAATTTTCTGTTGCTTGCCTCTGGACCCTTTTCAGTTTGTCTACATCTCTCAGTACTCCAGGAGAGGCTTCACAAGTGCCAACTACTAAAGCAGTTTGAAATAGAGACAGACAAGCACCAAAGAAATTAAGCAGATATCACAAAATACAGAAGTTGACATTGTAAATATCTATTTAATAAGAAAGCTTAAGCAACGCCAAGAAAAAAAGCATAAAGAGTTCCTCAAATTTGGGAATCAGAGTATCAGTCAATGTACCATGTTTCCGAATGTCCTTAAAAAAACAGAACAAAAAACCCACCCCCTCAGTGTTTCCAGGAACAATCCTTAGTTTCACCATATTTAAAAAATGTACTCTTCTGCTCAACAGAATGCATTTTTAATTTAGTGAAAAACAATATACAGACTTTAGTGGCCACTGATACGCATTCAGATTGTAAGATAATTAATTTCCTCCATCATGATTGTGTTGTTTTAGCTATAGTCAGGGAATATGCTATTTAATTCTTTCAGGTTGCCTCAAAATGTTTCCAGATTCCTCTCTCAGATAGAGCATCACTCTCTAGCTATGAAAGTTACAATTAAGATTCTACACTTTACTAAGGAGTCCAATAAAGCAATTTATACTCTAACATATTTCAGGATATGAAGAAAGAGGCTGCATTTCCTTTGAGAGAGACTTACCAAAGAAACCAATCTATCACTTGTTGAGTGTGATAAAAAAAAAAAAAAGTGGCTTATTTTTGTGGATATCACCGAGACACATCTTGAATTTTTGGTCTGAAAACAGTGAGTCAGACCCTTAGCTAGTTTAAATCAGCCTAACTCAACTGAAACCAGGGGAGGCCTGCTTATCTACAGCTGTTGAAGGTCTGGTCCACTGTATGTCAGATTGTCTAAATGATTCTAGAGTTTATTTTATATGCTATTCTAAATGACAAATCATTTATATTGATGTAAAGTGACCATATTTGAAGACATAAGAACAAGCAGACAAAATTATCATCAAGTTTTTGGCTTTCAGTAAGCACTCCATATTTCTTGATTTGTGAGTGTTTGATTAATTAACCATACTTTTCAGCTCAACATATACACAAATATTAATACTAAAACCCAAAAGAATTTGTTAAAACAAAAAATCCATCAGTATAAAACCCACCCTACCAAAATTTGTACACTCTGAAGAATGGTACAGCACTATATAGTATGAGGGGGGGAAAAGAGATAACTTTCAACACCAGCAATCTTTAAGCAAATTGCAAACACCTTTCAGATCAACCTGTTGTTTATTTTGTTTCCTGGCACCCATTCCAATGCAAGTCACCCTGAGCTCATTAGTACATGCAAGTTTCATTGCAAATATAGGCTCCTAGATTTAAAAGCTTCAGATTTAGTTACTCCAGAAGACTGCAGAGTGCCTCAAGTCACCATCTCACTATTAAAAAGTGAACTGTTTATGTGGAAAAGATTAAATGAAGGAGAGGAAAAGAAACAGATCTTTAGTGCAAACTTTCTAATCAGCCTTGGGTTATTTTTTTTTGGATACTAGACACTACAGAGAATTCACATCTAGTCAAAGAGATGGAGACAAGCAGTTAGAATGTCTGTTTTCTTGGAGGCATCTTCTCTCATTCAGCCCAACCCCATTCTCTCTAATATATACACACACACACACACACACTCACCTAGATAATGCAGCTCCCAAGACAAAGGCAGCATGCTCCTTCATCACAGCCTCTGTACTATTTAGTCCGTCAATCATTAATTGAAGTCCACCCAGGGAAAGAAAGTCTTTAGCATTGTCCACCTATGAAGGAATTCCACACTGTTGTTAAAGATAACAGATATGCAAATGGTATAAAATCTATAAATGAAGTTTAAAATCGACCAAATCTCTTCTAAATTTAACTTGTATTTTGTCTGAAAAGCACCTGAAAATTAAATATTAAAATCTTAGCTCATACTTCATACAATGCTGTCTAAAAGGATCAGACTCGACATTTACAAAAACAATATATACTGACAGGTGGCTGTGATCAAATACAGAACACATCACTGAAATTTCAAATAATTTGATTAAACTTTCCTCTGACACGTGGTTAACTAAGGAAATCTGATGCTGTCAAAACAAAATAAGTTCTCCTTTCTCTCACTCCAGAAGACCACTACTGGGAAACCAGGGAATTGTAAGTTATACAAATATAAAAAGAGCTCCAATCGGCAAGCTTGAAGAGTTTGAAATAATTGTCTAGTAACCTGGCAGCAGCAATAGTGCACTTGCCACATATTCTAAAATAGCTGGGTTGGAGCAAGAGAGAAACTGCTGCAGACTTTCTACACTAATACTGTCCACAGTTCTATGTTAAGTTGGAAGCTCTAATTGATGGAGGCTAGCAAGAAACTTCCCTGGAGGCAGGGTAACCTATAGCTGCTGGTTGCAGACTCCTGCCCCTTCCTCAGAAGCAGCCAGTACTAAACTAAATAGAATCAGAGAAAATTGTTCCAAGTAGATGAACCACTCAACTATGGCAAATCCTATATTCAAAAATACTTTTGAAATAGATTTTAAGCTACCCTTATGGAACTGTGGGGAAAGAAAACATCAGCACTGAATTGTAACATTAGAAAATTGTCTACACAACTAGTTTGCAATAAAAATTTACAGGGACAATGCCAAACAGTTTATAAATAACATATAATGCACGTGTGGGCAAAATGGCAGCTCCAGCCAGCAGCAGGACTCCATTTCCCAGCAGCCCCTGCCTGCATGGCTGGGGCCGGTCTCCATGGAGACCCCAGCTGCAGCTGTGCTGTGATAGTGCAAAGTTGAGGTTTCCATGGAGACTGGCCCCAGTCTGGCTCGCAGAGTGTGCCATAGGGCAGGGCAGGGCTGGGAGCTGCTTTGGAGCCACTGGGATCTTGCAGCAGGGGTAGCTTGGTCCGGGGCCAGGGCAGAGCCACAATCTGCTGTCTGCACGCACCTGCCCTGAGTATGCAGGCGGCGGATTGCAGCTCTGCCCCAGCTCCTTGCAGTGGTGACAACGTGGTCCCGAGTTGGGACAGAGCCACAATCTGCTGGCTGTGCACCCCTGCCCAGAGCATGCAGGCTGAGATTCCAGAGCCAGGGCAAAGCTGCATCAAGCTGCCCCCACTGCAGGATCCCAGCAGTTCCAGAGCAGCCCCCTGCCCTGCCCTGCCCTGCGCCCTGCCAGCCACACAGGCAGGGTCTGCTGGGAAATTGAGTCCAGTGCCGGCCAGATCCATCCTGCAGGTCGGACTTTGCCGCCCCGATATAGTGTCTGTTCCTTTAAAAGAGAAAGGAGTTTACAAAACCCCATTTATTTATTTTTTTAATCTTGCCATCTTTTGGCTTTGGAATTTCCCCATCCCCCTTTCATGATGGAGGTGCAAACAAAACAGTGCATGAGATGAAAAAAGGAATTCTAAACTGGGCATGAGAAAGATAACTTTCCACAGTCCACTTCATCTTCCTCTAAGCTGACCTTCCTCTACACAGAGATCTACCCACCAAACTAATCTTAGTGCATTTACTTTTATTACCCAATAACTGTAAATTTTAGTACATAAAACTAAAATTGAAGAAAAAAATCTGAGATGATAGGGGAAACAGCATGGCTAATTTCCATACTTTCCATGTGTGCATATAGAATAAGCTTATTGAGCAAGTCTTATAGGTTAGCTCTAGTTCTAGTAAAAGACCTTCCAGTCATAAGCCTAGAATAAAAATTGTTAAAACAATGTAAATACTCTAAATATTTATTTTTTAACCTTAGCTTATTTGTTGGAGTCTGCTCAGAGCACTACTCCTCTCAGTCACCTTTAAAAAAAATCATGCAAGAACTTCCCTGGAGAGCTGGGAATGCATTGCTGAACAACTGTGATGCAGTCAGCTGGAGCTTCACTCCAGTCCACTGAAAAGAGGGCAGAAGAAAGCCAAAGAGAGCTCTCCAATAAAACAAATATGGAGCACAGTTGGGGTACAGGAGATGGGCATATGACAGGAGTCACAGAAGGAACAGCTTTAAATTTGGGGAGACAGAAAAGAGAGGAAAAGTGAGAGTAAAGAGAAGAGGAGAAACAACGAATGCCAATAACACAGAAAGGAGAGGCAATTAGCATTGGAAGCAGTTTTGGATGGAGGAGAGAGAAAAAAGGAAAGAAGGATAAATAATGGAGAAAAAAAATGGAGACTGCTGGTAAGCAAATATATTAGCTTTAAGTGAGTTATGCTTCGTTTTCTTCCTCTTTGCATGTTTTGTGCATGTTAGAAATAACAGGGCACATCATTCTTTTTAGGTATCACCTGAAAGCCTCAGTCCATGCTGAGTGGATCCTAAATGGAAAAATAAGAGCTAGACAAAATGTGTGCCCCAGCCCTGCGCCTCTGTTCAAAAGCACATTGTTGAGAAAGTCGCCTGATCCCATTCTGCACACGCTGCAATCCAATCCCTGACCCTGTTCCACTGCTCCCTCCCTGGTTACATTAAGGATGAACTCAGCTCCTGTCAGGTTTCTCTGCTGCTTCGGAGGTACTGATGCTGCTCTGCTTGCTACCGCCCTAGAATTCTGCTCTGATTTGCTCCTCAGAGAGCACCACAACCCTCTGCTAAGAAATCTCAGCAATGCACACGGTTCTCCATTCTTGGACTTCACCTCCACAATACATTTTGCACCTTGAGGAACTAGTATTAGGAAAGACCCATGAGGCCAGAATATTAGCAATAGCAGGACAGACCATGAGGGATCAAACTGGAGGCTGAAAGACTTTCTGGACCGTTACCTTAAAAAGCAGAGGTAAGGGAGCCTAATACTGTATCCTCAATAGGTCTGCACAGGTCTGGCTACTTGCCATAACATCCTTCTGTAGTGTCTTGCTAAGATTGCTACTCAGATCCCATTAGCCTGGTACGAGTTACACAACAGAAAATTCCTGCCTGGTTCATTCTTTTGTGTACACTGCTACACAACTGTAATTGGCAGCTCTATATAAGCATTGCTGACGTTCGTATCAAACAACTAGCAAGAAAAAGAAAAGAAAAGCAGTCACCAGGCCCTCTGAGGGGTAAGTAATACTTCTTATCAAGCACCTGGCTGATGAAGAGGGACTACCCATCCACAATTTGCACCAACATCTGTCTCTCATACAAATGCTGTGGTCAAGGCACAGAAGAATCCTATTACTCTAGTCACACTGTTTTGTCCCCATTCCCTTCCTTTGGTTATTCAGATCCCATCTGTGTGTTTGGATTAGGGCATGATTCCATTCAACAAACCAGAAAGCAGTGGTCTGTTACCATCTACACAAGCATTTCTAAATTAAGAGACTAAAAATCGGTTTCCCTGGTTCTGAAGTGTAAATACCCAGCCTGCAGGACATCTGCAGTCCACATTCATTCTTTGAGTAAGACAAATGCACATGGTGACAGACATATTGGGAACAAAGAGTATGCAACTCTGAGTGTATATGAAAGATTCAGGATAGAAATAGGAGAACAAGGACATTGGAATAATACATGTATGCAATTTCCTTTTGCAGGAATCTCAGCAGATGGGCTCTGGTTCTTATCACCCCATTTTTACTTTTGAAAAGTAAAACTTTAAATTCTCAAAAAAAAGAAAGAAAAGAAAAGGAAATGAAAAGAAAAAGAAAAAGAAAAAAAGAAACTTGTTCTTTAAGTTAATTTCCTGCTGGTGAGAATTTTTCCAGTTTCCATCTCTGAAGACTAATCTCTTGTCCCCAGAAAGGGTACAGCATGGATAGCAGCAGTACAATTTTCCCCACTCTGCCTAAGCTAATATAACAGGACCACACTGCCAGAAGACTTGAGAAAACATTTCAGTCTCCAAGGTCTACCAAGCCTCTCGTCTGCTACAACCAATCTCTCTTCAACTGCAATCTCAATCTATCCTCACCCAATTTTTCTACCCCACCTTCATCCGGAAGCAGACTTCTCATTAGTAGTATTCTGTATGTGACTGCTGTGGGAAACAGAATATAAAGGAGAAAGGCTGCACAAAGGCAACAGCTGATTTACAGGCAAATACAGCTCCCAAACTCAAGTCAAGAGGAATAGGAGAACCACTTGCCATTGGGTAATTTTAGGATATCGACTTTTTGTTGGTACCTTAGGCACTGGCCACTTCTTCAACAGTCTACATATATGGGAAAGATTAACTTGCTATTCCAATATAGTTATACAGATACGGTTACAGCAGTACCTGCCTGCTTGCACATATTTGTTCTGGTACGAGTAGCTATTTTCAGCATAGCACAAAGCTTTTTCCAAACAAAACACTAAAATGAAAAGCAGCCTACTCAAACTAGATTGAAAGTGTGCATAAGAGGGTTACACATGTATAATGAAACTGGTTTAAATTCACCCCTTAGGTTACATCAAAAACAAACAAACTAATTAAATCCCCAAGCAAACTTTCTTGGGTAGACAAAGCCTTAATGTTACTCTCTTCATCCTCAGTATTTTTTCTTTCTGGAACTGATTTCCAGTATGAAACTAAGCTAACAGAGCTGTATGCCCAAAGCTCCTCTTTGGTGGCAGAACCCTCCATTCTGCTGGCAAAGTTAATTCACCTCTGCCAAGCAGCAAGACTTCCTTCACTGTCCAGCAGCAGGCATATATAGGATACTCGGAGGCCTTCTGCCAGCAGCCTTGTTCCCTTTAGCGCTTGGTGTTTCCCAGAAGGCACTTCATGCTTTGATAGTACAGCTGCTGAGGGGAGCCACCAAAAGCACATGGATAAACATGCATCCTATTGGCCTGGGGGTAGTGGCTGCTGTCTGGTACTAGAGGTAGACAAGGCAAGAGGTGGTCAGTGAAGCCTACTGGCCTTTTGGAAATGGGTTCTGAGCTGTGGATACCTGTTCCACAGGGACCAGGCTAAGATGAAGAATGCACTTAACACAGGTCATCAAAACAGCTATCAAAAATCCTAACAGCAGACAGTACACACAAGCACAGGACACTATCATAATGGGGTTGGCAAGTACAGAAACACAGGTCACAGACAACGAGCAAAAAGCACAGATCCATATAGGAGACTATATTTTATTATGCGTCACTCCCACAATGCACCACACAAAGTAGCTGTGGTGCCCTCCTGTTATCCTGGTGGGGAATGCACAGTTTGGGAAGGAAGACTGGAATTGCTTATGAATTAGGTGCTTGATTCAGTTAAGGACTTGCACTCTGAGGTCAGGAGTAGTGCATAACCCAGAATCCTTCTAAAGTAACGGGGTCCTAGTAAAGTGCATGGGGAGAGTTAGTCAACGTACTGAGCCAGGGGGCTGTCTGTAGCTGGCCAGTAGGAATCCTTGTAGCCTTTCTGGGGTGGGAGCATTTTTCACTCCTTATATTGGAGATGTCCCAGTGCAGAAAGAGTAGCTCTCTGGACCGAAGAAGGGCACGACTCTAGCCTGACGGCTAGGGCATGCAAGGGATTTGAATGCTTTCAGGCTGAAGAGAGAATTTCATAGATTTCTAGGGTCAGAAGGCAGTTCATCAGGTCCGACCCCCCTGCTCCAGGGAGGAAAGAGCACTGGGGTTAAGTAACCCCAGCCAGATGCCTA